GGGGAAGCAAACGTTTGGTGGCAATGGGTGATGCACAAAAACCATGGCGAGTACATACGATGGAGAGATTTTGAAAAAGAGCTCATCACGAGGTTTGACTCGAGTGACTACCACGATTACAATGAGGCTTTGTCAAGGATCAAACAAGTGGGTAGTCTGAGGGATTATCAAAAAGAGTTCGAGCGAATCGCTAGTAGGGTACGAGACTGGCCCGAGGCTGCGTTAGTGGGAACGTTTGTTGGAGGACTTAAAGCTGAACTGGCAGCCGAAGTGAGATTGGACAGGCCAGGCTCGATACGAGCAGCCGTTGAGTCGGCTAGATTGCACGAGGAACATCTTGTGGCGGTACGCAAGGCCAAGCCGAGCGACACACGCATGGAGACCAAGCGCATGAACGCCGCAACCGAGGAACTGGCAGGGCGAACGGAGAGCAAACCGATGGGCGAGATTGTTCGAACGACGAGCAACATACGACGGCTTACCGACGAAGAGATGCAACGACGGCGAGAAAAAGGCCTTTGCTATTCGTGCAACAAAAAATTTACGCCAGGCCACAGGTGCAAGGGTAAGGAGGTCTTTTTGTTGGAATTTGAGGAAGAAGAAGAACCAAGAGAGGAGTCCCTATTACATATGGTTAAAAGCAAGAAACGTGGTCCGAAGATGATCACATTCACGACCGAAGTAGGAGGAAAATTGGTGGAAGTGTTGGTTGATAGCGGATCTACGCTGAACTTCATTGATGAGGAGTTGTCTAAAGAAATCGAGATTCCATTTACCAAGGTAAAACCTTTTGGAGTAAAGGTTGCAAACGGGGAAACACTACGAGGAGATATTTTATTCAAGGGTGTAAAGTTGAAAGCTCAAGGTCAAAGGATGAGAGTGGATCTCTATGCATTGCCATTGAAGGCAGCTGATGTAGTGCTTGGATGCCAGTGGTTGGAGACTCTTGGTCCAATCACAACCGATTATTGGAAAGGAACTATGGAGTTCGGGAGGTCAAGCAAGAGGGTCAAGTTGAGGACTGAGGATCCAGGCGGGTCACTTGATGAGGATAGCGGGGATGGTCGAGAGGGGAAGCCGAATTTCCTAATCCTTGGGGACAAGGAAAGTCTTGAAGAGGAGGGGAATGATACGAAAGTGGAGTTGGGGACCGGCGAGTCTAGTGAGGGGCTAAAAGGCAAATGGTGTGCATCGGCACTTGATGCACATGAATGGGCGAAAGAGCCGCACACGCGGGAATTGCAAGGCGTATGCGGGCGCCGGATGGGCGGGTGCACGAGTGCACGCGGGGGCGCCGTAGGCGATCAGGGCTCGGGCGGTAGCCGGGACGTGCGGGGGTCACGCGGAGAAGGGATCGGGCGCCAAGGGCGCGTATGTGAGCACGCGAGCGCGCGACACAACGCGCGCGAGAAGGTCGGCAAGGGCTGGGCATGCGCGGTGGCACGCGAGTGGGATGACGCGGATGGTGTCCTAGACGTGGAAGGATTAGGCGACACGAGAGCGCTAGGCACGCACGCGCAAGGTGGAGTCGGCAGACGGGGGGCACGCGCGAAGGACGACGCGTGGGGAGTAAGCGCGCGGGTTGCCGCGCACAGCGAGGAGTAGGAAAGGCAAGGCGGCGCGCGCAAGCTGGCGGGACGCGCGCGACGCACATGAGAGGCGGCCGAAGGTTTTAATTTTTAGGGAGCTTCTAGATTTGCTTGGTGTGCAAGCCAAGCAATAGTTATTTGGTAGGTTTAGGATTTTATTGCTTTCTAGACTTAGGATTTAATATTTTATTATTTAATTAGTTTCCTAGTAAGAATAGATCTAGAGATAGTTGGTATCTATAAGTACCCCATGTACCTCATCATATTTGACAAGTTGAATGAAGTATTGAATTGGTGAGCCAATCTTGAGGGGGAACTTTATGTTCTTAACGTGTGATAAAGAAGGCCATTAGTGCGTCTTTACATGCAGTGTCGGAGAGAAGGCCAATAGTGCGTCTTGAAGTCACGGTATCTAGAAGAAGGCCCTGAGTGCATCTGCTAGATACACCTATCGGGGATAAACGAAGGCCTCAGTGCGTCGTTTATTCACAACCCAGTATAGACAAAAGATCGATCCGTCATCAACCCGTTAGTCACCCAACTCGCGTGCCTTCCGTTCCTTCGAGCCACCTGGTTTCTTAGCCATCCCCACCAGGTTCTAAGCCTTTGATAACCATCCCAAAACCTCTGATAGCGCTTCCTTTTGGAGCGTGGTCTCGCCCGTGCACGTCTACGCCAATGCGCGTATTCGCGCCCTTCCTTGTGCTCGATTATTGCCCGTCCTGGGATCATCTTCTCGTACGCTCTTGCGCATGTTACCACTTGCACGTTCGCCTGCTCACGGCCATCCCATGTGCGCGCTGTCCACCCAACATCCACCCCTCGTGCACCGCTTATCTCTTCTGCAATGTAAACGCCCAAGGCCTTAACCTCCAAGCGTCGTGCGCGTTGCTCCCTCGCGCACGCCTTGCACCAGTCGACCGCATTACCCGAGCCTTCAAGCCTCAAACTCTTGAGCTTCTTGCTCGACCTCCTATGCCATTGTGCACGTCGGCACCCTCGTATACGTGCTCGTGCACGTCTCCTAGGCCATGCAAGCCTTGTTCTGGCCCTTTGCTTGGCCTTCTCGGATAGTATTGGCCTTCGTACCTTCTCATCTTCGGGGTTCAAAACCCACTTCCGCATCATTCCCGCCCCCTTTAAGAATGTACTTGTCCTCAAGGACTTGTCATCGACCATTAATTGGGGCGTCATCACCTCGACCACAATATCTTCATTGGACTCGGCCCAAATGCCTTCAACCTCGACAAAGTACTCATCAGGATATACATCGAAGATAGGCAGTCCTTCATAATCCGTTGACTCATTCACGTCCTTGATGGGCCTTAAGTCCTTAAAATATTTTGAGAATTCAGATGGAAAGATAGGCTCCTCACACTTTTCGTCGACTCGGTCTTCTTCTACGTCGGACTCGCCTAGTACGTGGTCGGATGCTCTAACCAACTCGCGTATCTCGGATTGCTGCTGTTCGATCGTCCAAACCTCGGGCACCTCGCCTTCGACCTCGGTTTCCTTGATTATAGCTTCCTCGACTACTTCGTCGTCCATGAGTTCATCCTCGGGGTACACGTCGAAAATACGTGGGCCATCATATTCCGTCGAGACATGCTCGACCATGCTCGCGTATGCGCCTACTTCCTCGACGATAAAAATCTGACTGCCCTCATGCCAAACCCACTCAATACTCTTGAGACCAAACTCCTTGGCTCTGCTATCTTTGCTTGCTCTTAACGTGACCCGGTGCTCTCCTGAGTCGAACTCCATGACTCTCATCCGGTAGTCGGTGGTCACCTTTCCTAAACCTTCGAGCCATTGTACTCCTAACACAACGTCAGCTCCCACCAAGGGTAGCGCATAAAGATCGGCTTTGATGGTGACTCCTTGAAATTTGATCGGTATCGCACGGTAAGCCTCCGAGCACTTTAGCTGTTCTCCATTGGCTACTCGGACCTCAAATGGTTCAACCTTCATCGTTGGCAACTTCAACTTTCAAGATAGATCGGCGTTGATGAAGTTGTGCGATGATCCATTGTCTACTAGCACGACTACACGACGGTCCTTGACCAACGTCGGCAGCCACATCGTCGTCGGTCCTCCTGTACCGGCCATCGCATGCATCAAGATTTCGGCCTCCTCTTCGGGAACCCCAATCTCAACTTCTTGCTCCCAATTCTCCTCGATCTCGGGCTCTTCATCATCGATGACGTGGATGACAAAATCCTGCTTGCAGTGATGGCCAGGCGTAAATTTCTCGTCGCACTTGAAACAGAGTCCCTTCTCACGTCGGCGCTTTATTTTCTCGGGCGACAAGTGCTTGACTTCCGGTCTCAGTGGTCGCGCGCTATTGGTCGGTCGAGAGTTGTCAGGTGGTCGGCCGCTCGGAACCATATCGCTTGCATCCGGTTGTGCGTGTCGTGTTTCGAGATAGCGTACGTCCGTCCGTCCCCTTCGAGTGGCGGTGAGGTGGTCATCTCGGCGTCGAGCAACCTCCATAGCCGCGTGCATCGATTCGGGCCGCTCTAACCGCACCTCTGCAGCTAGGTCGAACTTCAACCCTCCAATAAATGCTCCAGCCAACGCGGTCTCGGGCCAGCCTCGTACGCGACATGCCAATCGCTCGAACTCCTTTAGATAGTCGCGCAAGCTTCCTGTCTGTCGTATGCGTGATAGCGCCTCATTGTAGT